AGAGAGAGAGAGAGAGAGAGAGAGATAGAGAGAGAGAGAGAGAGAAACAAGACAGATATGACAGATAGAGCAGAGAAAGAAAGAGAAAGGGTTAAGAGGCGGAGGAGGACGGACGGAGGGAAGGATGGAGAAAGCAAATGAAAGGGGTGGGAGTGGCTCCTTGTTGTAGCGTCCGATCAACGAAATTTTCGTTCTGTGAGTACATCGTTATACGGGGTGCCCACTACGGATGGGATCGGCCGATCGGGCCGATCGCCCGACTCGATCGCCTCAAAAGTTGTTGCCTGCTTTCTTGCTAACTGTGGAGATTCCGAGTACTCCGCTATTCTTGTTGACTGTTCTGATTATTGAGAAATTGGAGAGCATTGGTTTGGATTAAACGGTTCTGTCCATCAACTGATATAAAGTAGAGTGGTTTGCAAAACGGTTGTTTAGCCAACAAACGTTGACATACTGCTTTTGGATGTTTTAAATGTTGTGTGCAAGATAATTGTTTCACAAACATTTTGGTCGAACTTATAGAGTGGAGTAAATTTGTCAACAAATACCAAACACGGAAATAGCCCATGGACATGCGCAGTGATGTTTTGAACCGCCATTGACAATAATCTGAATGGAGTGTCTGATGCCAATGGGAGTAGCACTGGTCGCACCAAGTAACGAGAAGAACGTGATGGATAAGGAGTGTGCAAAAGTATAGTTTACCAATGTCTGCGACACTGGCCTTATTCAGGAAGACTGCCGGGCATGGCGACATTAAAAAGTCGGCTCAGAAAGTCGCAGACACGAAAAAAGACACCGTAACTCGTCTGAAACATCTTCGTCTTGTTCTTGGTAAGTTTATTCCTAGCAGAGAGTCTATGAATCTCAATCTCATCAAGCCAAAAGGCAAGGTGCAAGACCAGGTGTCAAAGTCAGAGATTATTTCTATCGGTTATAGATGCATAAACCTATGACTTGTTTTTTCTCCAAATGGTCGAGGTGGCGAGAGTGCAACTGAGAATAAGCGATCGTTTGAATCTGATCACGAGTGGTTTCTTTGACCAGAGTAGAGTAAGAGAGGCAGAGAGAAGAGACAATGAGCACAGCTGATTTTGTGTTTTCTGCTATTTTTGTTATCCTTCCTAGTTTTAACTCTCGTAAGAAATGCAGATCCCTGACCTGGTGCACAATGGTGTCTCTTATAAAGATCCAGATCATTCAGCTCCTATGGGCTATTTTATGGGTTGAACTTTGTTGATTTGGTCAATTTGGGAGGACTTCTGTAACGAGCGACCACTATGAGACAGAGCAGAATTGAGGGGTAGGGGTAGGGTTAGGGTGTGGGTTAGGGTTAGGGTTAGGCCTCTTCTTTATTGTGTTTGATGGGGTGGTCGCTTGTTACGGAAGTCCTTCCGTTGATTTTTTGTTTTTCATCCTTCACTTCATTTTCATAACTCTCTCCTGCAAAACAGAAAAAGGTAAGGCTGCAGTTGTTGTAGCCTGCTTGGGGGGAACTAATTCATGCAGTGCTGTTTGCTAGTTAGTTTCATAATTGCATAATTTGAGTCTTGATTGATGCCATTATAATAGTACATATTAGGCAGGTACCTGTTTGTCTTTTTTTTCTTTTTAAATCATTTATTATAACAAAGGTTACTTCTAGAGTAGAGTTAGCTACACTTGCAAAACTGAGACTTGAATGAGTGTATAGTATTGAAGTGTGGGGAATGGCTCCAAATGCAGGGATCACAGTTTTCCGTGGATCCGATCCGCTGTTTTCTGTGGTTGCGAGAACTTCCCGAAATCTGTTAAAAAAGCGGTCTTAACCGGGCCGGCGGTTGTTCCGCCCTGGCCTTTTAGTCAGGCTGCACTAGGCCTTAAGTAGCCTGAGATCGGCCCTAAGGCACCCAGCGATCCACGGATTTTACTATGCTGTGCCTATCGTAGACCGGATGTGAGTGAGACGGCACGAGGAAAAAGAAAGTCATGAACACTGATGTGGAGGGGGGGGGTGGGTGTGCACAATATCTACGGAAGTCTTATTGGATCGACCGTCTAAGTTCAGAGGTTGGCGAAAAATTCCACTGATCCCTGGCTTGGCAAATGGGAGACGTCAAGATAATCAGAAATACTCTTTTTCTTTTTTCAAATTATTGAGTCTTTTTAAAGTTTTATTTCTCATTCCGATGTCCAAAAAAACAAAATTGAATCTCTACAGGGTGTCCCAAAATTCGAGCACCATCCTTGTTGTATTAAAAACAACATGACACACTTCTTTGCTTTGTTGGTGGGTGTTGTGTTGTGGTCTACCTAGTCTTCTACTACTTTTGAATTTCGGTACAAAATTTCCTGGGTTTATAAATTGTTTTCTTAAGTTATTATTTTGTGTACATATAAAATGTTCCTCCTACTAGCCTTTGCAGTTGTAAACTAAAAGTAAAGTTACAAGTGGAGAGTTTCTGTACAAGCTCCACGTCCACAGTGCCTGTGTTATGTTAGGCTGTGAGCAGGGGTTGTCTCTACAACATGGTCTCTCCTTCACCTTTGGATCTCTCATTTAATGTTTGATCTCTCATTTAATGTTTGATCTCTCATTTAATGTTTGTTGCTTTTTCATCTGATCTTGTTTCAGTTTACTTTAAAATTTCACGCCTGTTTTTATTTTTCTAGTTTCTTTTAAAAAATTTTTCCCCATGACTTCCAAGAATGTTTGTACCTGCCATCAAGGTTTCTTTTAAATGTGTTAAATAAATCTTGTCTTTTTTTCCCCAGATAACTATGAGATTCAAGATGCGAAGAAATTTTTCTTGGAAAATTATTCTCATATTTACTACATTTTTTATGACAACTTCGGAACCGTGGAAGCAGACTTGAAGCAAAGAGGTAAATGTTATAGTACTTATAGTGAATTGTGTGTGTACCGTCTTTTTCTTGCTGTGACACAGTGTGAATAATAGCTTTTCATTTAGCATTGTTCTTTCCAAAAAGTGACCATAGAGATAGATAAAATTACTGAGCATGTAAAAGTGAATAATTACTGACGTGGTAAATGTTCATCAGTGAGAGTTTGTGACTGCGAGTAAAAAGATATATATATATTTATGTATTATTCTGATGTTGTGAGACTTCCTCATATTAAAGTAATGTCACATGTGTGATGTACAAGTGAAAGTAATGTCACATGTGTGATGTACAAGTGAAAGTAATGTCACATGTGGGATGTACAAGTGAAAGTAATGTCACATGTGGGATGTACAAGTGAAAGTAATGTCACATGTGTGATGTGCAAGTGAAAGTAATGTCACATGTGTGATGTACAAGTGAAAGTAATGTCACATGTGGGATGTACAAGTGAAAGTAATGTCACATGTGGGATGTACAAGTGAAAGTAATGTCACATGTGGGATGTACAAGTGAAAGTAATGTCACATGTGGGATGTACAAGTGAAAGTCACTATAGAGTGGATATATATATATATATATATCTCTCTCTCTCTCTCTCTCTCTCTCTCTTTTCAAGGATGTGTTGTCAAAAACGTTTCCAGTTGAGAGAAAAATGTTTGAGAAAGTTGATACTAATTTTTGATTTATTTGGTTTGTTTTTTTGCATTTCTAAAAATATTAATACAAATTTGTAAGCCAAGGATGCATCCCACCCACTTATTTCATTAATTGTTGCTGTGAAATTTTTAAAATTTTGCTTAATGTGTAATTTCTCTTGTTTTTCTCCTCAGCAAACAAAGCCCACAGGGAGGAACTAGAAGCCATCCTATTCATTTTTGAGGTAAGGATGTGTGTTTACAACAAGACAGCAGCATTTTTATGGATCCTGACAAAGGAAAAGTAGGTGATGTTGCTCATCTGATAATGAATGAGGGCATGTGTTGCTGTTGTTCACTTTAAAAGAAATACAAAGTTTATGCAAGGGCATTTTGTGTCAGTTTTGTTGTTGTGTGACTGAGACAAATTTATAGTATTTTTATAAAGCTGTCAGTACGGTATTTTTGGCTGTCTTCTCTCTCCCACTCACGTTTCCTGTTGGTACTAGAATTGAGCCAGTTAGTCAATTTTATCTTTGTGTATTTTATGATAGATGGGGTATCGTGTAATCTCTTTCTTCTTTGTGAGATGGTTCAAGAAAGCTGTTTTTAAGCCTGTCACCTGAAGCTTGGAATAATTTTGTGCAAAGACAAAGTAATGGGAGTCACTGTCTCGTCTTCTGGTAATATCAGAAAGCTGCTCTGCTAGTTCTGGGGGTATAACTGAAATGTCTGACTTGTTGGGTTGCATGTTGTGAAAAGAAAAAGTGGCTGCCTGTTGACTTATGACTTATTGTGAGAATTTCCTTTTTTTTGCTTTTCAGAAAATCTTGTTCTTGCTACCAGAGATTGTTCACAAGCGATGGATGTTCCACAGCATAGGTTTGTACAATGTGACATTGTCACACACTGGCACGGACATTTGATAGTACACAGGAATTTTATGAAAAGTTTCAAATGAACTCTTCTTTTGAGAATACTAGTTTAGCCCTTGCAGTTTGTTTAAGACTTGAAATGTAAGAATGAATTCTAGTGTAGATTTCTATGAACAGCATGGTTAGATGATGAAACATGTCAACGAATTACATGACAGCTGGATGGTGTTGTTTACCTGTCATCTAGTGTGTGGTGGCGGGTGCTCTGGTGTAGCTGCTCCTTTTTTCCTGTCAGACATCTGTTGTCCTTACATCTCTCCTTCTTTTTGGTGGATGTCACTCTTTTAACACCCCTAATATTCAGCACTTATATGACTTAATTGTGTTGCAAATGCTGTAAAACTCTCACTGAAACTAAAACCTGTCATGTCTATAGATTACTGTGGCCGTGTTGGTCCGGGGGTGCCCCACTCCTTGCCCCAACAGGCCTCCGTCTTCCCCGATCTCTGCTTTACTTTGATGTTATATTTCATGAAGTTGTAGGCCACTGGAGGATTTTTCATGTTCAGTGCAGGAAGAAGGTCTTCCCTTATAAATCTCTTTGCCTCCATATTGCCCTGCAGCACAGTTGCCATCGGGTCTAAGTTGTGAAAAGCTGTGGAAATGTTAATAAACATTCAAATTAAGGGGTTGATAGTGATTCATTGTATTATATTATAAGTCACTGGATGAGGTATGAAGATAATTTTTTTTGTTCCTTTCATATAATAAAATAAATGTTTTCTTTTTACAGGTCGGATTATCAAAAAGCTGATTCATCCTGGGAACAGCTTGCAGGTATGTGGTCTTGTGACCTCTGCTATGGTAGACTATACCGTGTTACCATTTGTAGTTTTATTGATAGTTTTTGAGCCTTTGTCATTTTCATGGTGAAACATGTAAAAGGAATTAAATCAAGAGTTTGGATTAATTTGGTAAAACTTTGCACAATTTTCAGCTTAAAAAAGGCATTTATACGACTATTTGTGTGGCAAGTGACATAAAACCCTCACTAAAACCTAACTAAAAGACTTAACCATGCTAGCTCACCATACATACAGTTAAACCTGCTCAAACATCCACCTGTCCAAGACAATCACCAGTACAAACGGCCGCTTTTCACCCCCCCCCCCCCGTATTTTCCCTATTATAATGACACAGTCCAAAATGTCGACCTGTGTACTGTGTACGATGACCACTTTTCTCCTCAATAATGGATGGCTGTTATAGAGATTTTTACTGTATTACTCTAGATTATTATTATTATTATTATTATTATTATTATTATTATTATTATTATTTTGTGTACCTGTTGTTGTACTCACTGTCGTCTAACTACAGCTGTGTGGGTGGTTGGCGGGTGTTCTGGTGTGGTTGTGGTTTGCTGATTCTGTCTGCTATGAAACATCTATCATCTGCCTTTATCTCTCCTCTTTCTTTTTTGTGTTTGTTACTCTCCTGTAACACCTCTAATCTTGGGCACTTATATGACCGTACTGTGGTGCAAGTGCCGTAAACTCTTACTAAAACTAAACTAGATTTTTATTGTATTTCTGTATATTATCATTGTAATTTTTTTTTTACCTGTTGTACTTACTGCCATCTGACCACCCACCACCCCGTGTGTCTCCTCCCCCCCCCCCCTCCCCCTCCCCTCAGCTCCGGCGCCAGGGCGTGCGTCTGTTCCTGGTGTGGTACCAGTGCCTACAGGAGAATGCCAGCGAGGAATGTCACCGCATCTTCCTCTCGCTGGTGCCGGGGCTCGGCGACGGGCCCGACCTCATGACCTTGATGACCGACAACACGGCCTCGGCTGACAGTGAGTGGCCGCGGGAATAAATGTTGACGGGATGTGGGGAAATGGTTTTGTTGTTTTGTTTTTTATATGGCTCCATACGTGTGGTTCTAGAGACCCATGCCCAACATAGATCTAGAGTGATTGTGTGTTTTGCTGTTTAGTATAAGAAATTATAACATCCCAATTGAAAGAGCTGCGAAGCTGGCCTACCATAAAAAAAAAATGCATCTCCCCTTGATGCTGAACAGCAACAGCGGATGAAAAAGTTAAAGTAGAAGTAAGCTGTTGAGTGACCTGAGGAGAGAAAACATAGATGATGTGGTGGAATCAGGTGCTCGTCAATTTTTGGGCATATGGAGTTATTGGTATCATTATCATCATAAAACTTGTTCAATTATCTTGCGGTTGATGAAAAAGATACCCATTGATCCTGAATAGAAGTAGGGATATTTGCCATTGGAAGAGGTGGGGTGGTTGAGTGTTGGGAAGTTAAATCTCGGAGAAAATGGCCGTCAAAGTTTTGTGACTGCCAGTGCTTGAGTGTTCTTGGAAACTACTCATTAACATTTTTTGTGTGCTTTTGATCAACATTTTTCAGTAAAATTGCACGTAAATGGGGTTTAAATGGATATGAAATGAATAGAGCAAAAAAAAAAAAAGAAGATAGGTATTGCCCTATGGGTGAAAAAATGTCGGTTTCTTTGATATTATTATTTTGACGAGCACCTAATTTCTCCTCAATGCCACGTATGATTCTTAAATCGCATAATAATGATGTGATTATTTTTCCCTAGATATCGGTGGGATCATCGCTGCAGGAGAGATCACGGCTATTCTCCCAAGTCAGTCGGAAAAAATCCCAGAGAATGTGACGAAATACTTCCTGGACAATTTGCTCAATTACATGGTGTCTGAGGTGAGTGCTGTCTGCTCTAGCTGCTTCATTCTGTCGTTTTCAACGTTCTTTGATTTAGTCTCTTCATTTGGTTGTGTCGGATCGGGCTTTGTGAAGTTGTCTGAGGCAGTAACATACCTGTGTGTGTGTGTGTGTGAGAGAGAGAGAGACAGAGAGAGAAACAGAGACACAGAGAGAGAGAAAGAGATAGAGACAGAGACAGAGAGAGATAAAGAGAGAGTATGTGCGTTTTTATGTGTGGGGGTATTGACATGATCTTGTATTTTGAGTGGCAGAGACAGACGTAGGCAATGACTGAATGACTCACTGGATCTTTTCAGGTGATCAAAGTGGAATGGATGAACTCCGAGATGAGGGAGCAGAGTTTTCACTTCCTTTTCACCAAGTTCAAGGCCAAATATCTTCACTGGTTGCTCCCCGACTTCGTGTACAGAGACATCTACGACCCGATTCAAGGTAGACTCGCGTGTGTGCTGCTGCTCCTTGTCTCCTCACTGAGATGTTCTGTCGTTCATTATTTCATCAAGGTCAATCCACAACTGTACAAATCTATTTCTGGGGATGTCCAGAGAAAGCCCTTGTGGGTGGTTGGTGGCTGCTCTGGTGTGGTTTGCTCCTTCTTTCCTATCAAAATCAAACATCTGTTGTCCTTATCTCTCCTTCTTTTTTGAGTATGTTACTCTCTTGTAACACATCTATTCTTTGGCACTTATTTGACCTAATTGTGTTGCAAGTGCTGTAAAACTCTTGTTATTCCAATAAAGACATCTTGCCACATAGTGTGTTCTGTTTTGTTATTTCCTTCCTGTATTGTAATTGAAAACTAACAAGTGCCCCATTCTGGCTGTTATTTGGGCGTTACTTTTTTTATTTTGTTCTCTCAAAACTTTGAAATATGATTTTGGCGATTGGGAAACAACCCTCCCAGTGGGTGTAAACGTCCAAACATATATATGTGCCCTTGAAATGCAACGGTGCGTTTATCTATTTTGCACAAATTCTCTGCTTTTGAAGCATCTTCCTTTCTAAGCTGGTGAAGACTGTTATAAACATGCTTGGCTTTCCACATACAACTGTTTGAATGAAATATTTCACCAGTACGCGTGATTACAGCCAGTTCTGATTAAAAATGATGTTGTTTGATGAAATGGAACAACCCTAAAAATAGATCAAAACAGACAAAGTGACACATTGAAGTGGGTGGTTGGCTGGTGTTCTAGTGTGGTTTGCTCCTTCTTTCTTATCAAACATCTGTCCTCCTCATCTCTCCTCCTTCTCTTTTGTGTTTGTTACTCTCTTGTAGCACCTCTAGTCTTCGGCACTTATATAACCTTATTGTGTTGCAAGTGCCGAAAAACTCTTACTAAAACTAACAAAAACAGCCAGTTCTGATAAAAATATGGTATTGTCTGACGAAATGGAACAACCCTAACAATAGATCAAAACAGACAAAGTGAAACATCATGGAAGATTATGACTTACGCCGTTTGTCCCCGGTTCTCTTCCCTCGTGTGTCAGAACTGCCGACGGCGCGGAGCAAGGAGGACATGAGGAAGAAAGACGAGCCATCTGCCGTGTCGGAGTGCCGCGACTCCTTCATCTTCTGGCTGGCCAACTTCACCGTCACTAGTCACAAGCCTGATCCAGAGCTGCACAAGTAAGGGGGGAATGTGTTTTGTCCCCTGCATTAGATGACTGATTCCTCAACATTTCCTCGTTGTGTCAGTTCTCCCTCTACCCCACAGGGCAGTGCTACTTACTGAAATTGTCTTTAAGCCATTCCCAAAGGGGGGATATTAACATGTTCTTATGCCCAGTAGAATTGTAAATGGGCTGATTCAACATTGTCATGCTCATGCTGTGCCTGAACTGCAACAGGGAACTGCTGCTTTTTCTTTCCTTATTCTTACTATCGTCATTTTTCCTCTACTTCTTTTGTATGTTTGTCACTCTCTTGTGAACTGCTATTTCCGGGGTGCCTTGATAGTCGAAGCAGACTTTGTGATGTTGAGGCTAGACAGGTGATCAGAGTAAGTCTGATTCCCTGTAAGGACTTCTCTTTTGACACCCACCCCTTGGCGCTCATTTGACCTTATGCAGTTGCGAATGCCATAAAACCCTGTACTAAAACTGAAAAAACATTTACTAAAACTACTATTACGTCTTTGTGTCTTGTCCCCTGCATTAGATGCCTGTTACTATCCTTATTGTGTTGCAAGTGCCGTAAAGCTCTTACTAAAACTAAATACTCAACATTTCCTCGTCGTGTCTGTCCTCCCCCCCCAGGGGTCTGTCCTGCTCTCTGCTGACGGAGCCTTCCTCTCACACGGGAGAGTCGCGGGACAGCGGGCCGGGGAGAGGGGAGGAGGAGGAGGAAGGGGAGGACAGCAAGCTGGCACTGCCGGGGAGTAAAGGGAGCTCGTTGTCGGCTGAGGCGGGGCAGAACGAGAAGGAGGCGGCGTGTGGCGACTGGCACAGCGTGTCCGAGTACGACATCGTCCGTGCCGTGCTCTACTCCACCCGCGAGAACGTCAACATTGTGCACGAGTGTTTTAGACAGGTGAGTGTGGCTGGTTGGCGGGTGCTCTAGTGTGGTTTGCTCCTTCTTTCCTATCAAACATCCATCGTCCTTATCTCCCTTCCTTCTATTTTGTGTTTGTTACTCTCTTGTAACACCTCTAATCTTCGGCACTTATATGACCTTATTGTGTTGCAAGTGCCGTAAAACTCTTACTAAAACACAGTAAAGTGGACCCAAACCCAACTCTTTGGCATGAGTGTTTTAGACAGGTGAGTCATCTAGATCCCGACTCTTTCAGTAGGAGTGCTTCATACAGTTGACATGAAAACCGAAATTTTTCAGTATTCGGGGATGACGGTGTCTCAAATATTCTCTCATTTCAGATTTTCACGTCTTGCCTATTGTGGAACAAAACAACAACCCACAAAACAAATCAACAATAAACAGAGAGAGGGAGAGTGGGGGGGGAGGAAGTCCATAAAACTGATAAATAGGAAGAACATTTCTCTTGTATAATCTGACTGAAGTATGTGATGCAGTGGTGTCCGAGGCTTACAATATCCCTTCATCATACTTTACACACGTTCCAGCAATGATAAAGTTAAACAAAGTGAATTGTCATTGCTCGTAAATATTCTTCGTCCAGATTTCATTTTGCCTGCTTTGTGTGTGTCAATAATATGTGTGACTGTCTGTCGTTACATTCCTGCCAGGCCCTGCTGCAGTCCTTCAAACACACGGCCGCCATACGGAAGGTGATCAGTGTCTACAAGGAATGGTTTCAAGTAAGTGCTTTTGCTTCTGCTTGTGTCGTTCTTGTTTTTTTTCGCATTTCATTCATCCTCCTGTGGTTTCATTTCATTGCTTCGTGTTGTTCAGTTGGAAGCTGCCGTCCCACATTAACTCGTAGCACAAATTTCTGCCAGTTGGATGTTCTTGTTAGGTTTTTTGTTGTTGGAAGTTTGAGACTCATTTTTCATCCTGTGCATGTGCTTATGTGAGCTTGAGCCTCTAGAATGAAGCAGAATGTTTTTGTGTTTTCTATTGAATCTTGTTTTCATACTTATACTTTAAGAAAAAACAAAAAGCAACAGTTCAGCGAAAACTTTCCCTTTGGATAGTGGAACCCATGTAGACATTGAGGCGTGGGCCTGACTTACCTGAAATGGACTGCCGTTGTATCTATAGCCACATCTGCTTCTCTACCAACCAGCGAAAATCTCACTATACAGAAGTTCAGTGGAGTCTGCTTACATCAACATTTGGGGGACCATCAGATTTTCTTAGGTTGAGCGGGGTCTTCTGGTTTAATGAGGTTTCTTGAACAGAGGGGAAAAAAATCAGGGATTAAATTTTTTTTCCGGTTGACGGCTGTTTTTGGATTAACCCTTTGAGCCCTGGCTCTGCTGACCCTAGAATACCCCTTGCCCGGCCATTTTAAAGAAATTTTACATTGGTCACAACAAACAGACCAGACAACAAGTACGCCACACACAATAACGAGATGTCCACGCAGAAACTAATCAGAGTTGCCTACCTCACATCTAGAGCCAGTAAATAGTTTTTTTTGCAGACACGTTTAGGCCTAGAAATGTAGAAGGGCATGGCTCAGATTCACTTGGTGCCGTGACTCCCCGACCGGTGAAAGGGTTTATCGGGCCAAGCATCGATAAAGTCCCGGACTGGTCAGAGGGTTTCTCGGGCTCTAAGGGTTAATGGTGTTGGGTATAAGTGGACTCCACAGTAATCCAGGGTGTCGAAATCTGTGGACATTCTGTGTCTGATGGAAATGTGTAGAGGCAGCTCCATTTCAGGTGACAGGCTTGTGGGATATGTGTACGGTTTTCTTAGAGGGGTTTCCCCTGTCTGTTTCCTTTTCATTGACATTTTTATTTTCAGGATTGCTATGTTATGTTACAAATTTATTTGTTCTTTTCTTGTGCATATCATGGAGAAATGAGGCATGCCCCATTTATGAGTATACGACAAATCTATTGCGAGATATTCAGTTATATTTCTGTGTAGCGCATGCCTGGCACGAAATGGCTGAACTATACTTTTTGTGCATGTTTTCAAATACACTAATATACTCCAGAAGAAACTTTTGCCTGTTTCAGTTCAGTTAGTTCCTTCAGTTTTCAGTTAATTCCTTCAGTTTTGTTGAAACTCTCTCCGAGGGGTTTTTGATTGTAACAGCCATAGCTGCCAGCCAGTACGTAAGAACGTCCAGCATCTTGACCCACAGTGTGGATAGAATCGTGTTTTTGGTTGTGAAAAGTTGGCAGCTGTGTACCAGTTTGTGAAAGTGAAGCAGTGTAATTGAGGACAGGAATGAATGCGGTCCTTGTCGGTGCCGCGGTGTCGGGCTCTCACGCTTGTAGATCAGGGTTTGGGGAAGAAGCATTTCTTTTAAGTACCATCAAAATTCGCCCAGACGACCACCGTTAAACTGGACATTTTGTGCTGGCCGTTGAGCTGATGGTCTGACACAGTAGGTTTAGGGAGAGAGAGAGACACAGGTGGCCCTTGATGATGTGTCATACGACTGTCTTCCTCCCCACCAACCTACGACAATCTACCGTTGCCTCCCCCACCCCACTTCTCTCATCCCCCACCCTCTCCCCCCCTGCTCTCATCCCCCCACCTGCTCTCATCCCCCCCCTGCTCTCACCCCCTCCCCGTTTCTCTCACCCCCCCCCCCCCACCTCTCTCACCCCCCACCACCTCCCCCGTGCTCTCACCCCCCCTCCCCCTCAACCCCCTCCTTCCCCTGCTCTCCCCCTCGCTCTCACCTTCCCACCGCCTCGCTCCCCCTCCCCTCCGCTCCCACCCCCCCACCCTGCTCACCCCCCTCCACCCCCTACCGCCCTGTGAGAGCAGCGTGAAGAAGACCGTCCTGTGTTCATGCTGGAGCCAATGGCCAGCGAGCGAGATCTCAGCGGCGGTGTGGACGGGGCGTGCGAGGAGTCGCCCCTGGACGGTCTGAGGCCCGGCAGCCTGGAGTTCCATCACAGCTCGCTCTCCGATATAGTGGAGGAAGATAGAAACTTCATGGATGTATGTTGTTGTCCCACACCTTTTTGGTTCTTTTCACTTTTTAGTTACGTCAGTGTCCCCCCCTTTCTGATTCTTTTTCTTTTTATTTACGTGAGTGTGGCTATGTGGGTGGTTGGCGGGTGCTCTGGTGTGGTTTGCTTCTTCTTTCCTATCAAACATCTATCGTCCTGATCTCTCCTTCTTTTTCTATCATCCTGATCTCTCCTCCTTCTTTTTTATGTTTGTTACTCTCTTATGACCCCTCTAATTTTCGGCACTTATATGACCTTATTGTGTTGCACGTTTCGTAAAACTCTTACTAAGACTAAACTAAGTGTGGCTATGTACAAACTTCATGAATGTATTTTGTCTCCCCTTTTTAGTTCTGTTTCCTCTTTATTTACGTGAAGTGCGGCGGTAGTTTGTGTGTGCTTGCGTCCATGTATCCCTGCATGCCCTTGTTCCCGTACTATTGATATCGCTTGTAGACATTTTTCCTCTACTTTTGTATTCTCTATGTGCTGGTTATATTATAGCTTTTTGGATAAACAGGCCCTTCTAAAGTCTGAAGGAAGGGGTACTTCGTAAAAAACAACCATTAGGTCTACATTTTATCTCGGTAGCTTTCCCTGTGAAAAGTTTCGGGCTCAGAGATAATTTGACACCCGAAAGTCTCAGTGCTCATTTGAATATAGGTCAGTGGGTGAGTATACGTGTGTACTTGGCAGGAAAAGGGTTAAAAATTTGTCCGTTTTTTGGTTGTTTTTCAAGTTGACATCTACAATGGTGGGTGGTTGGCGTGTGCTCTGGTGTGGTTTGCTTATTCTTTCCTATCAAACATATATAATTATTATGTTGTCCTTTTCTCTCCTCCTTCTGTACTTTGTATCATGTTTCTCTCCAGTAACGTCTCTAATCTTCGGCATTTATATGACCGACTTTTGTTGTAAGTGCTGTAAAACAGTGTGTTGTCAGTTCGGCTTTCTGTGTCAGTTTTCCGCGTGTCCTTGAGGCGTGTGGGCTGAGCTTCAGGCACACCATAGATTTGACTTATGATATCCTAGACTGGCTACACCATAGACTTGACTTATGATATCCTAGACTGGCACACCATAGACTTGACTTATGATATCCTAGACTGGCCACACCATAGACTTGACTTATGATATCCTAGACTGGCTACACCATAGACTTGACTTATGATATCCTAGACTGGCTACACCATAGACTTGACTTATGATATCCTAGACTGGCCACTGTCATGGCTGCCACTCTTTGTCCTCTACAAAAGCTTTGCTACACTGGTGCGCACCATGGACGCGCAAATGAAGGACGAACACACCAAGTTTCGCAATAGTCCAGTGCACGCGCAACTTTTCCTTCTTTGCCTTTCATTTGGTTCCAAATAAAGTCAAATGGTGTGCACCGTGGTGAACTGGAATTATGTTAGTATGCTCCGTTTTTGGATATTATAAAACAAGTCTACGGTGCACACGCACGCTCTTTGTGTCTGTTCATGTGGCTGAGCTTGGCGTGCATGTCAGTCTGTTCCTGGCTTTGAGCTTTTGTGTCCGCGCGCACTCACACACTCTCTGCCACGCGCGTACGCACACACTCTCTGCCACGCGCTCACTCTCACACTCTCTGCTTCAGTTCTATTCCTCTCAGTGTCTTTGCTTCAGTCTCTTTGTTGTTTCCTAGATTTTGTTTTATTGAATTAAAAAAAAAACAACCCAAAAAAACACCTGTAGTTCAGGACAAGAAATACCCTTCCAAGTAAGTATAAGGATTTTAGTGTATGATAGTCTATATTGGTATATTGGTTTACGATTTGGGAAGACAATCACGCATCGCTGCGTCACTAATCTTACAGCATCAGAGTTGCCAGACTGCACTTCAAAATGTACATGCCTGTGGTTACAGATTGATTATTTTTTTCATTTAGTTTAGTTTTAGAAAGAGTTTTACGGCACTTGCAACACAAATAGGTCATATGAGTGCCGAAAATTAGAAGTGTTACGAGAGAGAAAGATACAATTTACGAAGAAAAGAAGGAGAGATAAGAATAATAGATGTTTGATGGGAAAGAAGGAGCAGACCACACAAGAGCACCAGCCTGTGACCCAAACTTTCTTACTCCAGTGGACTAAATGTTCTTGGGTATCAGCACGTGTGTCTAAGGAATGGGATTGTTTTTTAGATCTGAGAAAGATAGTGTTCAAGAACTGTATAATGCATGCTTTTACGATTATTCATTAAAATGTGTTGTAAGTGCGATGTATATAAAGTGCAATTATTCTGTGTATAAAGTTGACCCAGCTTGAGATTCCCCTCTTTTAAAGTTACGCAAGTTTGTACCATGCATGTGTATTTAATAATTTGAGAGATACGCCTGACACCGACGTGTTTTATCTGACACGTTTTTCTTGCTGTGGGGGCTGCGGGCTTTTAGAATTGAAAGTAATTCCAGTTGAGATTGTCTATGATAGTCACCCGTTGTCAAGGAGAAAACTGGCTGTCTTGGACTAATGGGTGCATTAATACTCATTAATAATGTGTGTGGGAAAAAACAAAAGTAAACAAACAGCAAAGTGGCTGGGTGGGAAGTGGCCGGGTGGGAAGTGGCCGGGTGGGAAGTGGCCGGGTGGGAAGTGGCTGGGTGGGAAGTG